CTTATCGCTTTACTATTCGATGTAATAATGGTCGGTTTAATTAAATTTATATTTCAACGTCAAAGACCTAAAGAAAATAATGATTCAGATATGTTATTCACTGTTAGTATTGATGCTTGGTCATTCCCTTCTGGTATGTATGTTTATATTTATAAAGTTAAATCATATTCTCCCCTATACTTTCTGGCAATCTTATCTTTATTTTATTGAAAAGAACGATGTAATCGAATTTATTTTTGTCTATAACCAGAGTATGAGCGAAATTCATCTTATGTCATCTTATTCTATTTTTAGCTTTGAGTTTTTCACATCAACAAAGCGAAAGTTTTAATTCTTGCAACACTTGGTTTCTAATCGATTTAATCTCGTATTCGAATCCTAATCCAGTTGATTCGGCCGGTAAACTCAAGTAATATATCACTAGTCAGTCAGTCAACAGTGTAGAACGGCGTACGTACATACATAAGTTCGAGTTGCCATACCACATTAGCACAGAAATACAATTGTCGATTCAAATCCCATAGTAGTAGAGGTAGTAAGAGTATAAGCAGTAATCGGAAACATTTGGGTTTGAAGATGTTATTCAAGGAGTATAATGCAGTGAAATAAATTTGGAAAGAGGAAAAAAGGGACATGAAGAATTCAAGAGATTAGAATTTGAGAGAACACAAAGAGTGAATGCACCTGCGCCATTGCAAACGATTTTGAGCCATGTCATTCAAGGTCTCCAACCATCGGTTGCTATCGTCTCGCGGATCCCAACTAGGTAGGTTACATATACCAATATGACTCAGTCCACTTGTCAGTGACTTGATGGATTTGTGCCATGTTTTGGTCTGACCGCCTCTAGCTTTCCTCCAACTAATTCCTAAACCATGAAACATCACACGTCGAGGCAGTCGTTGATTGGGCATACGTAACACGTATCTCTGCCATCTCAACTGATGAAGTTTCCCTACTTCATCAATTGATTTGCCATCCTTACCTAGTACCCGTTTCCTAGCAACTGTATTAGTATTAGTATCAGTATTAATACAAAATGTGTAGTCTGAAGCTTAATGTGCAAATTCACTTTTGATTAGTAGTTAATGTTAAAGTATAATTTTACCTTTCATTCTAGAAAATAATACAATGGATACATTATAAAAGTATTTATATATCCGTTAGTTGTCTATGAAAACCAATAAATACAATAGTCCATTGTAAGAACCGATGCTTTCAACGTGGTACAGTCAGCATAGCAGCAGTCTCTGCATCAGAAGGCCTCAACATACACAAGGGGAAAACCAAGGTCCTTAAATACAACACGGAGAGCAGCAATCCGATCACTCTTGATGGAGAAACTCTGAAAAATGTGGAATCCTTCACATACCTGGGAAGCATCATCATCGATGAACATGGAGGTTCAGATGCAGGCATAAAGGCGAGGATGATGGGAAAATTAGGAAGGGACGATGGAAATAGATAGGACATACATTACGCAAATCATCAAACTGCATCACAAGGGAAGCGCCAACTTGGAATCCTGAAGGGAAGTGGAAAAGAGGAAGGCCAAAGAACACATTACGTCGGGAAATGAAAGAGATGAATAAGAACTGGAAGGAGCTGGAGAGGATTGCCCAGGACAGGGTTGGATGGAGAATGCTGGCGAGCGGCCTCTGCTCCTTCTTGAGGAGTAACAGGCATTAGTGTAGTGTGTAGTGTATTGTAAGGAAAATAATAAAACATTAACATAATAATATGGATGCATAGAAATACAAAACAACAATGTTGTTGTTGTTTTAAAGTAAAATATGTAAAGTTGAATTTATTAGTCTAATTTTGATCCAATATAGACTAGTATCAGAAGGTGTTTTGTGAATATTATAGTAATTTTAATGGTTGAGATCATAAGTCGATTGAAGCTAGACCACCATGGAAAACCTAGAAGCACTGGAAGGCCGTATCGTCCTATCGTGGGACTCCTCAGCAGTGTGCATCCACGATCCCGCCTCTCGAGATTCGAACCCAAGACCTATCGGTCTAGACTTTACAAATGAATTCACTTGATATTGTTTACTTAAATCTTCCGATTGACGTTTAGAACTGCAGGTACATCCAGTTAGCGAGTCCTCAATAAAACAAAACACACTTCGTGGATTTAACTGCTAGCCACTATCGATTTTTGTTTACTCGTATTTTTTTCAAAAAAAGAAACATGAACTATAAGAACAATAGAATCAACAATTACGTTATGTAAATAAATTATGAGTGTTGAATTTGATTAAAATGTCAACTAAGTGTTTAAACAAGAATGAAAAGAAAATAGAGATTTGTTTCGTTTATTGTGGCACCAGGTTCTCGTCTTTAAGTTTCTAAACGATACGCGCATATTATTGAACTAAGTGCTATAAAACTTGTGACTTGAATAGTCGAAAATTTTATTTATTTATATATTTGAACACATAAATATTGGTACAAAGGGGCACCGAATACATATGCGTCACACAAGTCACTTGATTTGTGTGTGGGCTGTAATACTGTCTAGGTGCCCAGATCGAAGCGGGTATTTTTATTAGAAGGTCATACCCGTAGCCTTCGACCTACAGGTCTGATCCATAAGGCAGTGGAGCCAGTCAGGAGATGCAGTCCCATGGTAGTCGGTGACCAATAATTGGTTCATATGCCGTTTGTTCTTTCAGGATCCTAGAGGCCATATGCATCATTGGTTCAGAATCGGGGTTTTCCAACTCTCCTAGGTGGACCTTCCGTGTTCACTGACCCGGTTAAAGCACCGGACATTTGCTCTTCATCTTCTCAATTTCGTAAACAACAGTAATGCCATGAGAAGGCGGTGAGTAGGAATTCCGTGGCAGTGGCTGTATGCACTTGGCCGTGTGAGAGCATTTCGAAAGTGAGAGTTAACTCTCCCTACCCCTAAATGCCCTGGTACGGCCGAGAGTGGAGAGAGTCCGCTCTCCCTCTCCAAATGCTCTCACATGGCCACGCGTATATAGCCTCTGATAGGGAAGTCCTACTCACTGCCTTCTCGTAGCATTACTGTTGTTTACGAAAATGAGAGGACGAAAAGCAAATGTCCGGCACTTTAACCGGATCCCAAACCAATGGTGCACATGGGCTGGCTCCAGTATCCCAAAGGAACAAATGGCGTATGAACCAATCGTTGGTCACCGGCTACCATGGGACTACATCTCCTCACGATGGTCCACTGCCTTGTGGGTCAGACGTTCAGGTTGAAGACTCCGGTTGTGGCCCTCTAAGAAAACCATCTGCTTCGGTTTGGGCACTCGGGAAGTATCACAGTCCACACACAAATCAAGTGACTTGTGTGACGCATATGTATTAGGTGCCTCGTTGTATCAATAAATTTATCTGACACCTTCAAATTAAGAAAATAACACACACACACATACTTTATGGCAATCATTTTTGTTTATTTTATGTTCTCTTTTTTGTTTTTCCTCTTACATTTAGGTCATGCTAGTCGATCAACAATGTTATTCTTTTTAATTTCTCATCTTTGGTTATCTTCATCTACATATGGTTATATATATTATATTATTATATGGTACAATGATATCGGATTGTGATGCTTCACAATGAATTCATTGTACAAGTGTGTGGATGCTGTTTGTGAAATCCGTAATTTCCTACCACAGAGCACATCGAGTTGTTTGCAGTGTACGGAGTAATTTGCTTTGGTAATTAACTAGTACTAACCACATTCGGTGTTGATTTACTGTGCCGGTAAGAACCTCTTTGTTTATGCGCTGGTTCTTTTTGATTTCACTAATTTAATTGGAACACTTGAAACTTTAGCTGAATATGTGAAAACCCAATACCTTGTTTATTGAAATTTGTGCCATCCATACCTAATTTGTAAGTCTTTTGAACGATCTCTTTTTAAGGGTGAGATCCGGCAAGTTAAGTGAGAAGGCTACAGGAATAGGTGAATTGGTGTCCAAGATTACTAAGCAATAGGAATAGCTGGGTCGTGATAAAAGAGAATTATAACATTTCCATAGTGTTCAATTTAATCAAGATGATATAATCGATATTGTGATATTCCGTAGGTTGAGGATCTTGATGTGATGATATTGCGGTAACGGTCACAATGTTGAGCTAAGCAAATATTTATTGTACTAGATTTATTTAATCTTCATGTCTAATGTAAAAGTTGAGAGCAATCGGTAAATGTTTGGGTATACAGTTAACATGTAAAATGAATAACTAGATAGAGAATTTTTATTCTCACCAATACTTACGCATATTGAAGCCCTGAATTTCAGCGAAGAAGCAACCGTTTCATTTTTTATCTCTATTATTTTTTGTCTGTTGCACCAGGTGATTTTTGTTTTGATTTGTGCGATCCATTTATCATACTGTTCTATTGTGCAGCGTGGATTATTTTTTAAATTTATAATATGATTCAATCGTAATAATATTTGACGATTGTAGCTTTTATTTTTGAGAAAACTTTATTTTGTTATCATTACTATTTGACTGTTTGTTTATGCCAGCCATTTGAGTCTGAATTGGAGGCTATGAATAATGGTGACTTGACTTCAGTCGGAAATGTAGAATTACGATTAGCTGCTTGCAATCGAATTGTTTCTCTGTTATGTAATTGTCTTTCAACAGATCATTTTCAACTAGTACAATTATTAAATAATTTGAACCAGTGTGGCGATCCAGTTTCTGTTACTTTGTCAACTTTATCCCAACTTAATCCACATCCTAGTGTTTTAGACATATGTTCTAATGTAACATCAACACATAGTCACTGAAAAGTTATTCAGTCTCTCGTGTTATCCCGTGAACAAAATGTCTCAGATAATTTGAAAATGTATGTCTATCCATGGTTCGCGTACACTATTCGGTTTTGCATTTACAACTTCCTAGCCTCCCCTAATTATGTGACTCGCGTTGCAGACTAAGAAGCGTGTGTATCTGTATCTGAATCGGATGTCCTCAGAACGTGAAGATAAGGTAGTACAATAATCCTCGATTTAAAATAATACGACGAGTGGTTGGGATTAGAGATGCATCAGAGATCAGAAACACGTGGAATGAATTATGAAGCAATGTGGTTATTCCTGATGAGAAGTGATAGTCATTAGTTTAATGTCTTTAATTTTGGCTCCTAAAACTAGTGTTTAATGCAAGAGAACTCTACTGCCAGAAGTTGTTATGTATTCAGAGTCATTCGCTGTTCACCCTTACGAAATTCTTCATGTCACCTGAGTATGGGATGCATCGTATTGGTGACAAATTTATGTTTAATCGTTATGTATACATTTGTCATTTTATTCATAAAATATTTTGATTCATTGAGTTTATAAATCATTTCTGACTATTTCATTTTTAGTTATTAAAATATGGACTGGTTAATCCAAGGAATGTTCTCAATCGCACACTGAGACATTCTAGTTTTTCTGAATCCGATGAACCAACGAAGTGTGAATTACAAGAGGCTTTATTGAATGCAGTTGGTCAACTGGATCGTTTAAGAAAACACCGTATAAATCAAAAAACACGTATTGATAAATTACAAGAACGATTAGATCATATGGGTACTGAACTGGATTCCAGTGTAGATACTATTCGTCATCATCAAAGAAATTATGAAGCACAAAAACGTAGAACTACTATGGAGATTACTCATTTACGTAATCAATTAGCTAAAGCAACTGCTTTATTAGAACAGTTGAAATTGTTCTTCAGTAAAACAAATGTGAACACTAGTTCTTTGGACCACAATATGCGAGGTTTGTGCTTTATAAGATTTAAATGTGTTGTAATTTGTTTGTGTCTAGTGACTGATTTGATCTCACGCCTATCTGTCTCTTGCTTTTCAATTGTTAGTTTATTGTGTTAATCTCTTATCGTTAGTTTAATGATATGAAACGTTTATTATAGTGTTTCCTTAACGACAGCCCCCAAATGCCCTGGTACGGCCGAGAGTGGGGAGAGTCCGCTCTCCCTCTCGAAATGCTCTCACATGGCCATGCTTATATAGCCTCTGCCAGGGAAGTCCACCAATGATGCACATGGGCTACAGTATCCTGCGGGAACAAATGGCGTATGAACCAACTTTTGGTCACCGGCTACCATGGGACTGCATCTCCTCACGATGCTCCACTGCCTTGTGGGTCAGACGTTCAGGTCAAAGGCTCGGGGGTGGCCCCCTAAGAAAACCACCTGCTTCGGTTTGGGCACCCGAGCAGTATCACAGCCCTCACACAAATCAATTGAAATTTGTGTGGCGCATATGTATTTGGTGCCTCCCTGTACCTATACTTATGTGTTAAAATAAAATAAAATAAATTCCTTACCGACAGATAAGTAATCTAAGTTGTGTCGTCTTACTCATAAGAGAGCTTGTATTCTTCTGTGTGTTTTTGTAATAATTTTGTCAAGTTTATTCTTTTACACTAATGATTCCTCCGTCACGCGTTTTATTAACTCTTTTTATTTGAGCATTTTGAAATTATTGCTTACTAGAACTGTCCCAGTGCGTTGATGTGACACACTTAAGGGTTAAAGCAAGGAATAAAAGAAACTGAATAACTATATGTTACTCCATGTATTGGGTTTTAAGTCATGCACTATAGACACTCACGAAATTGTGTTTCGATATACAGTTGCAGATGTATTTAAATACAACCATATGTAATTTCTGAAAAACCAATTATTATGTAAATTCGACGAGATGATAATATTTTGTATTTCAAACAATGCGTTGTAGTACTCAATAAATGATCTATCAACAGTTTGTATTTGCTAATGCGATCACCTCTTTTGATCTTAATTATTTGGACAAATATATTGGCTGATTAAGCTGAGAATTCGCTTGGAAGTTCAGACGTATGGTACGAAATAAAGCAATTATTATCATCTTTATGAATGATGTATTTCTCCCTTAGATGTAATTTCAAAACTATGCTTCATCTCTCCTAGGTTTTCATATTATGCAACTAGAGCGTTGACACCATAGTTGATTAAGTACTCGACTATTTGCTTTATATTTCCATAGGACAGTCTGAAATACTGATGAACTAAGTTTAATCGATCCTGTAGGTATCTTATCAGTCACAAATTATTAAATATGCTAAAATCCTTTCAATATCAAATGATGAATAAGCTACCTCCTGGTAGACAAAGAATTTAATCATTTTAATCACTCCATACTACCGTATGTTTGATAAATAGTGTTTTCCGTTTTATTGCTCTGATATCATTATATCATTCTGTTTGTTGGTGATTATGATATAATCAGAAGGAGTTTTGTGGAGATTGTAGTAATTTCAATGATTGAGATCATGAGTCAGTTGAAGTTAGACCACCATGGAAAACCTGGGAGCACTGTTCAGCCGTTTCGTTCCATTATGGGACTCCTCAGCAGTGCGCACCCACGACCTCGCCCCCTGCGAGATTCGAACCCAGGACCTACTGGTTTCGCGCGTGAGCACTTAACCACTAGACCACTGATTCACCAGGTTCTTGGGTATGAGCCATACTCAAAGTGTAAGAACTAATGATAATACTCGTTCGCCCAAACGGAAATAGATGTAGTGGGATTCAAACCTGGTCAAGTGTGACTCCGTTTTCATTCATTTCATTATTCGATTTACAATCTCTCTACTTCGTATATGATACCGATATAAGAGATAAGTGTAAATAAGTAAAACTTTCAATAATGTGAGTATTATTATTTTTACATTTACTTCATAGTTGTGATTGAGAATTTACTAAGAAATGTACACACAAATAATGAACTGCAAGATGTAGATACTTTAAGTATCGACGATTTAAAACTGAGATTATCTATTGCTCAAAATGAGCTTACTCAATTGCGATTAGATATGGCACGTCAAAGAGAAGATGATGATCGTGAGGCATCAAGACTTCGGGGTCAGTTAGCTGAAGCAAATTCAAATGCAAGAGCTTTACGGATGCAGTTAAATCGCCTTATACCACAAAGCATTTCTTCAAGCAAACTTAATAGTTTGGTGAATACAAACTCATCCGATTCCTCAAGCTGTACAAATTGTCAAAAACTTCAACGTCTCAACGATGTTTTACAACGTAAACAATCTAAAATGAACCCGTTTCCTGATTTAATCGATCATCAAGGGAATATAATAAATCATCAGAATTTTGTTTGTGAGGACAGTGCCTTTAAGAAGAAAGCAATACACAAGCCACACTTTATGAACAGTTTCGTTCAAACAGATTTGTTGAATGATATTCCCGCAACTGATTTTATCCAAAAGGTTGATGTAGCTATTGACCCTATTGGTGGATACGATAACATCTCACCACATCTCCCGGTTGAAAATTGTAAATATGTTCAAACGGAACCATTCGTCATAGGTAAATTTTAGACGTTCAATCCTCCTGTTATTTGGTTTTTGTTATTTCATTTTACGGACTATATCTTTTGTTAAATTCTGCAGTCTGCTCAACCTGAAACATCCTGATCAGGAATATGAATGTCCCATAATTAGAGAATTTAGTAGGCAATAAGAATTTAGTGATGACAATGATCGTTTGATTTATACATTTTGTTGTAATTTTCCCTGTCGATAACTGCGGTGTATTGGATTTGAGCCTATTTACACGTATATGTATTCAGATTAAGTTTATACTCCAGTTATCATTTATTTGCATTTATCTTTACAAAGGAAAGAAATCAGAGTACTTGTGGTGTATGCTGCTTACGTCAACAGATATAAGTAGTATGTAACACGTATCAGAAGCCGGTGGATTTATTCGCCAATCGAAATACGACTTATTTAATCTTATCACTGCTAAACCAATGACGTTCGACCGGTATGAGCAGCCTAGCGTCCTTATTGGTCCTTTGTTCTTCTAGCCCGTCCAGTTGATTGCAGAAAGCCAATAACAGCTTCCACTATGTGAATCATTTATTTCGAACATACTTGGTTTATATACCAGCCAAACAGACCGCATCACACTATAAAATAGGAAATAACGTTTATACAAGTTGAAGCTAAAAAGTGGCTGTGAACGTGGGAGGCTGTAATCGATTAACTGAACATAACTTTAGAACAGTAAATCGTTTAATCATAATCTATAGGCCTAAATGAAGCTTGTAATAAGAGGAATATAGATATACATAATCTAGTTACTGAACAGTTATACAATAGGAATATATATATATATATATATATATATATATATATATATATCCTCACTAGGATATAACAGAATGCCTGTCAGCGTAAGATTGGGAAGATCGAATTGAAGAGAACAAGAATATAAAGAGAGTAATTGTGATAAGAACTGGAATAAAGGAACGGTGAAGTTTGTAAGAGAAAACTGACGGAAGATGTGCAAATGAAATATTTAATGTATGGTTTTCATATTTTACGAAGATACTCTGTAATTTTTGCATTCAACAATAAATTGGTCTTTCCCACCTGACTTCTCGTTAGCTACAACTAACGAAGTAGTATTTGGGTTAGGCATCAGAGTTTTAAGAATATTTTTAAGGATAATTAATCTATTGTTGTGCTACCTTTCATATTTAGGTGGTATGATGAGATTTCTCAGATGAACTGTTTCACTGGAAATTAATTGATCTTTGCTTTGTACATAGTTATCTTATAGTTATTATAGTTTTTGTTCTTATCTGTTTTGACTGGTGGTAGGCAATGACATAACTTCATGCGAAACTTCTTCATCTGGTGTAATTTTGGTTGATGGAAGTTTAAAACATGGTAGTGTAAACGAACCAAGCAACCTAAGTGAGGTTCAGTTAAATAACCTTCATGTATCCAATAAATCGGCACCAGTATCATTAATGGAAAACGACAATGAAGCCGCAATAAATAGTTATCGAAATTCGATGCTTCATTCAATTGGTGAATTAAAGCATGATAACTTGGTTAACCCGAGCCAAAGTGTTAATGAAGATTCGTTACATTCTCAGTTGTTACAGCGAATAAAAGTAGCTGAGGAGGAAGCGATTATGGCTATGGATCAGTTGAAGGCAAGTAATGCAGAGTTTCTTACTTTAAAAGAACGCTTATGTCATGCAACTGTAGAACGTGCACATTTAAAAGCAACCATTGAAGGATTGGATGAACAGGTTAGTTACGTTTTGTTAAAAGGATTTTTCTTTGAAGCATTTGATTTTATTGGTTGACATAATGAAACAACTTAACATTATTGTACATATATTTTACTCAGGTCGCGTTACTTGAAGACTCTTTGTATGAGCGTACACAGGAACTTCGTAGAAGTCAAATACTTCTTGGGAAATATTGTCCAACATCTCAAAAGCTTGTGACATCATATTCTGTTGGACCTGAAGTACCGTAAGTTCTAATCATATGGTTATTTTATGAAGAAGCACCCTTTGTTATATCTTATGGTTATTTAGATTTTTTTGCGTTCACCATTTAGTCCAATGAATATACTATACTATACTGTTTCTTTGGATAAAATTCTAGAAGATTTCCAGACAAAGTTTGACAAACACAAACTTCTAAGAATAGTTTCCTGTTTAGAAAATGCCGCCTGATAACTTCATTAGTTATGTTTATATTTGACTTGTATTTCAACTTCTCACTTACTACTATGTTGAACTGATAAGTGATGAACGAAAATCCCTTGTTAATCCACTTGAATTAAGGTGTTTTTGGACATTTCGTACACACCTAGACATTCTCTTCCTCTATGCACCACGTTTGGTAAATTGAAGTAAGAGTTTCATGTGGAATTATCACTGGGTTACTTGTTTAAGGGATTCATCAAGCTATGAAACCTAGATTATAATCTATTGGTCGATAGTAGTTGATGATTATGAACTTCTTGAATGGCATAAGTTATGATCGACTACACAGGTCCAAGAACATTTACTCTGATTTTCTCCAAATAGCAAATGTCGTGAGTTTGAATCCTGAGAGTGGGATCGTGGATGCGCACTGCTGAGGAGTCCCATACTAGGACGAAACGACCGTCCAGTGCTTCCAGGTTTTCCAAGGTGGTGTAGCTTTAATTGACTGATGAATTCAACTATTAAATTACTAAATATCCGATTATCCTGTACCTGTTTTCTTAATTTATTCTACTTCACTTAAGCCAGTCTTAAGATTTCCAATGGATATTCATGATTCGTGAATTTCAGGAGCAAGTTTAAAAGTTCAGTAAGATGTTAGCTTCCAGTACATTTTCACATCTGTACTACGTGTATATTATTGTATATAACTCAATGGCTTTTTATTTAATACATTGAACTCTTGGACTCGAATCGTGTCACTAGTGCTTACACTAGAAATGTGAGTCGAAGCCACGTCTCTGAAGAAGTGGCTTGCACTGAGTCACGAAACGTCAGAAAATCTAATTCCTCTACTCATTGGGATATTATAAACATGTTATTTTTATTTCTAACAATCTACCCCATGCTCGATTTATTTGAAATGATCAAGTCGAACCTCGTTAATGATACTTGCAATACGTGTATTATGGTGTAGATCATATGAATATTTTCTTGCTTGTTATTTCTGTCTAGGACATCGGAAATATTTATTAAAATACATGAACCAAACAATAATTATACAGGCGAATCAGCAGTTGTTAATTTGAGAGGTGTTCTTCAATCTTTTGAACCTACAGAATCATTTCTACGTTCTGTTCCCATCAGATTTAAATCGTTACATCAATTAAGTAAGATTTTGTATTATGCTTACTGTATAACGTATTCTTCTTGTGCGAACTTGCTTTTAACTGAATAAATGTAATTTATATAACAGTTGTATTACGAGCAAAGAATATAGATTAATTTTTGTATGTTGTGTATGACTTTTATGTTGAGTGTACTATTATATTATCATTATTATGTTGAGACTGTCAGAAAAGTTTCAAGATCAATTGACTCATTGACCCAGTCAGTAGGTGATAAAAATTGTTCACTTTCAGGGTCTTAGTTCACTGAAGCATTTATATTACTAGTGTAGTGTAAAAACATGGTACTTCGATGTGTTACGTTTTTTGTGGGCCCCTTTATTTTGTCGTCATTTAGATTGGACGATGTTGTCGAAGGGCCCTCCACTTTAGTGGCCCGTGGATCTGACTCCAAATAGATCGCATGAATGGTTGTTATTGAATTGTATATGTCGCCTATCCTCGTATATAATCATTGACTTAAATCGCGTTAGTCAATAACGGAATTAAATAAGTCAAATAACGGGAATGGACTTTCGGATACATATATTTTGTATATGAAGCGAATGGAATAGAACGAAGCAAAACGACGCGCAGTGGAGATGGCGGGTAAGCCAACTCCCCTTTAGTCAAGCGTTAATCAATAATTATAGTTCCACAAAACTAAGTTACAGACATGTGATGAGTAATGGGATAAGAAGTGTACACACACCTACGCGCTCATATAAAAACAGTCAAGGTTGATAAGCGAATAATTAACAAGGTCAAAATATGACTCAAGTAGAATGAATAGATTGGGCTGTCCGAAAGCTAGAATAAGGTATATGGGCTTAACATAATAACAGACACTACACGTTTACTGAAATAGAATTTGTGATATTGAACGTTTCAGGAATCTTGCAGCCGTCCATAACATTGATCGTACTACCGGTTATATTGAATGTTTAGCTGCATTTTTTAGTATTTAAGTTTATTCTCTTTTCAGGATTGTGCGTCTCATGTAACTTTGAATAGAACTAAAAGTTATTTTCTTTACTCAATAATACCATTTTATTTTTATTATCCTTATTGTTGTAGTTAACCTAAAGGATTGGCTATCTGTTTTATTGAAGCAGTTGGTTGTACGTAGTCAACAACTAACACCCGGAATGTCTAGTGGTATAAGATTTACTTCATTTCGTCTGCGAAGTCAACCTAGACCTAAAGCAATGTTTATATTCTTGACTTATTTCTTTTTTGTACATCTAATGCTATTACATTGTTGGTTATTGTAAGTATCTTTGTATTTTCTTCCTCTTTCTATCACTATTCTCTATTTCTCTGTACAATATTTCGCTTGATGTATTATTTTTAGTTCTGGTCTTTCTGATTATTTACTGTGAATTCTTTTTGTCAATAGCCATTATGATATGTCTCTACTTTCTTCCTATTCTTCATGATTTGATGTTACTATTTTATTTTTCTGCAAACCTGTGTTAATTTTCTTATTTATGGCAAATGAATTTCTCGATAAAATAAAATACATACTTATAAACATACTTGTAGTTTGTCTTTTCACTTGCTTTCCTGATGAATTTGTGTATGCATATTATTTATAAGACATATGTCTATTCGACTCGTCATGTGTGCATTTAGCATAAGATTGGTGTTTTCGTAATGGGTTTACACACCGAATCATTAGCGATGAATAAGGTTATTAAAATGGCATGTTCGCTCCAGTTGATGTTGCCGTAGTCCTTATAATAATGTTTTATGTTTTATACCAAGCGATCTGAAAATATCAATAATTACTGATTTTTAATTGTTTGCAGAATGAAGGATTAGAGATCAAGCTTGAGCAGTTGATTAGGTAATCTTCGTGTGAATACAGTTTCGTCATATTTTGGTAAATTGCCGTAATACGTAACATGTATTGTGTTATACCGTATAATGAAGGAGTTGTAATTTCTATTATTTGTATAAGCTAATCGGCGGCCTGCTTGAATATCTGGGCTACCTGTTCCCTCCCATCTAGATATTTCGTCAAGTTATCCGTTTTCGTGCGCGTTTACGAAAAGTTTACAACCTTTCGCTGTACGGATTACAAAAAGGTACAACCAGAGACATCATGGTGGCTTGTAATATGCTTTGAAACGAATGAACATTATTCAGATGTCGATTATCGAACTCCTAACATCTAATTGGCCAGCACTCAATATTTATCGTCAGGATCGATCAAGATATAAGCAAAAGAAACTTGTTAAAATACTTTATGCTGAGAATTCAATAGTGTACCACAAATATAATGTTGAATAAAGCATATAATAATAATAACAATAATAATAATAATAGCTAAAAAATTGCTGGACTGCTAATTAGATATTATCATTGTAGTTTAGTGGTTTGTGGTAAGATCTCTGAGAAGCGATCAATCCCATGTTTGTTTAGTTCTATAATTGTTGATCAAGTAGCATTGTAGCCACTAGTTTAGGTGAGTCGACAACGCATGCACTGTGTTGGAATGTTAAGCAGTGGTTGGAGGTATTTACACATCGAACATCTTTATACTTGTAATCATATTGCTACAGAGTCTTAACAATTCTATTTGATAGTTTACCGTGTTTATGAACAAATATGCTTGAATAATGTAGGCATTTTCATCTAAATCTCTAGGAATACATGTAATAAGTTGTATTTTTGCTGTTTACCAATCTTTCGTAATCAATAACCATGCGTTATATTGTTGAATCTCAGTGAAACAGGAGATTGTAGGAGCAATTACATTTGCTGTATATTTATGCTATTGAGTCGCATCCGTTCAGCATGATCTTATCAATTCATTCATTATCAGAAACCATAAAATGTCAATCTAATCCGTTGAAATCGTGTGACGAGATTCTTTCTATATATTAAGAAATTACATTCTAAAAGTCAATGTAACAGTTTGAATAATAATATTTAAGTATATGTGATATGTTTTTGAGTAGAAAAGTGATCGATTTGTGGTTGATCACTTCAAATTAGACCTAAAATTACTTAGGAATCGGGTAATACAAGGTGAATACATATAGAAAGGGTTAAGTTACAATAGAACCAAGAATCTTAGATGGAGGTGAGTGATGTGAGCAAGCTTCGCCAGCCAAATTAACCATTTTCTTAGATTTTGCCTCTAACAATAGACAATGAGAAATTCTCCATGAACAATGACTACAAATCCAAACAATAAACCCTCGAATAACGACAAATTCCAACAGCCATCCAGATGTCTACACTCTGTCTATTTCCTTCCAGATTACCAATCCATTCTGGAAGCCAAACGATCGAAGAAATCTAGATGGTCATCAGATTAATGAAGAGTGAGAAAGCAGCAGTACCTGACAAGATACAAGTCGAAGCGCTGGTATTTGCTAAATAGGCTAGCCGGAAGTAAAAATGAAAATAACT